TGAACATTTCTTCATGTGCTTGTTGGCCATCTGAATGTCTTCTTTGGTGAAGTGTCTGTTCATATCCTGTGCCCATTTTTCAACTGGATTGTTTACCTTTATCTTGTTGTAGTCTATCATGTTTAAGAATGTGGAGGGAAACAGAAACCAAAAGCTTGAGAACTGCTGTGCCAGAATCATAATTATTTAAAAGGATGTGGTCTCTTCACCATTGTCTCTCCAATACTCCTGTGGTCTTATAATCAGCCCACTTAATTCCTTTAAGAAACCCTGGTGTCATAATACATTGCATATGGGCTATTAACCAAAAGGTCAGTGGTTGAAGTCCAACAGCTGTTCCTTGGAGAAAAAAAAGGACAGTCTGTTCTCATTAAGATTTACAGACTTGGAAATCTGATGGAGGAATGGAATAAATGCAAAGGTGGCAGGTTTAGATATCTTTATGTTACCTGAAGACATCAGACTCTTTCATGGACATTGCAGACACATGAAATTAGATCTTTGTATACAATGGGGAGCCCATGAAAAGTGTTAGTCTAAGAAAAAATCTGAAAGTCAGAGATTCTAAGCATAGAATGTTTATGGTGACATATAAGGATTTCAGGATTAAAACCTATTTGTTAGCAGAAATCCAGTGATTAATCATTAATCTAGCTGTACTTATTCTAAGTATTGGAGTTTAAATATTGGAGCACTGGTGGCCTAGTGGCAAGAAGCTGTGCTGCAATCCCAGTGACACATGATTCAAATCCACCAGCTGTTCCATGGGAGAAGGACAATCTCCTGCTGTGTGATTAACCCACCAGAGGGTCGGCTATGGATCAGTTCTGACTCGATGGTACGTAACATCGGAGTTGCTGAGCAATGGGGCTGCGTTCATAAGTAGTGAAAGGTGAGAGACTATACCCAGAAACCACTGGCCTACCTCGGATGTTTCCTTCTCTGCTCAACTGGTCTTTCATCTTGACCTCCCTTTCTCTATTCCCTTCACTTTCTTCTACAATGGTCTTCATAGGTTGTTTGCTTTCTGTCTTCTTGAGATCAATCCTAGGAACAAGTCAAGATGTTTATCCACTGGAAAATACCTAAGTAGGTGACTGTCAGCTCTCAGTTCCAGGAAGCAACACAGCCAGCTCAGTGATTCTGAAATAAAGCCCATCTCCTTCAAATGAGGGGACCCTGGGTGTTGAAAATTATTGCCATGCTTAGTTGCTAACCAAAAGGCTTGAAGTTCTAGTCTAGCTCAGAAGAAAAGCCTGGAAATCCACTTCTGAAAAATCATCCTCTAAAAACTCCATGGAGCATATTTTTTATCAGATTATCCAAAACAAGATAAACAAGTGCTTAATCACTACTAGTAACGGAAGATTTCATTTTTATACTACATCAAAGGTCCTGCTTCTAGAAGTAGCTGTAATCTGTGTTTCTTTCAACTTCACAGCACCTCGCTGTAGAATCAAATCTCCTTTTCAAATTGATAATTCTTGACTAGGACAGAGTACCTAGTAAATAAAGTAAGTACGGATTTGCTTGTTCTTGCTTACTAATCTAGAGAGAACACCACATTGGAAAGCAAGCATAAATTAGTCTGTGCTCACCTTGCTTACTGGGTAACCTGTTCTTGGGTAGATAGCATTAAGGCCAGGATTCCCAAGGACTCATAGCCCAGAAACAGCCCTTCCTCTCTTCTCTCCACCTCCTTATCCTCTGTTGTTGTTGTTGTTGATTGCCCTTGCGTCAGCACAACTCAGCCTTTCTATAATTATTGACATTTATCAAAGTTCATAGAGTTTCTGTTCTTATCTTACTTTCTCTTTTCCATCCCTGTGTACTATGGTGGCTTGTATGTTGCTGTTACTGCAATGCTGAACCTATCTACTAGTATTTCAAATACTAGGAGGGTTAACCAGAGTGGACAGGTCTCAGCAACACTTCCAGATTGAGATAGACGGGACTGCTCATCCACTTCAAAAATAATTTGTCAGTGAAAACCTAATGGATAGCAGAACCTTATCTGATACAGCGCTGGAAGATGAGCCCTTTGAGTTGGAACGCACTCAAAACATAGTGTCGCCACTGCAATCCAAGAGGTGCACGGTTCAAATCTTCCAGATGCTCTGCCGAGAAAGGAGGAACAATCTCCTCCTGTACCAGTCAGATCCGATTTGACAAAACACACACACACACACACACACAAATAAAATAATAATAAAAAAAAAACATAGTGTCACATCAAAGAGAAAGACTTTGAAGGAGCTAGAGTGACAGTGGCTGTAACGCTGGGCTTATGTACAGCAGTGACTGTGAGAATGGCACAGGAGTAGGCAGGGTCTCACCCTGTTGTACTCAGTATTGCATGAACTGGAACCAATTCAATAGCAACCAGCAACAACAACAATAACAACCTTGTTTTAACCTATTAGGTAAGACTCAAGAAAGCTGTCAGAATCAAGCCTTGAAAAGAAAGTGGTCTGGACTCCAAGAATAGGAAGAAGTTAGGAGATAGAAAGTGGTGGGAAGTACAGGACAACAGGTGAGAAAATTTTTACTAATACTGCAGGGACAAAAGTTGGTAGGAGAAGCCCTAGTGACATAATGGTTAGCTAATTGGTTGTTAAAGATCAGTCTTTCAAAGCCACCAGCTGTTCCACCAGAGAAAATATCTGGCAGGTTATACTAGTAAAGATTACAGCACAGTCAGAATCAACTGGACAGCAAATGACAGCACTGGTAGCACAAGGGTTACATGCTTGATTAAGGACAACCAAATACTGCATGGGATTTGGTTCCTTGCCTTGGAGATTTAGGGTCATAGTGTCATGGGACATCCTAGTTAATTGGCCTGATAACATATTTAGTGCCTCTCTTCTCCCTTCTAGGGAGTTCTAGTAGCCTGGTAGGTAAGAAGTTGTGATGTCAACTCAAAGATAGCACTTTGAATTTTACAGCTTCTCGAGGGTCAGTTATAAATCAGTGCAGACTTGACACCACATAATAGCAATAACTCCTAGTTTTTGCCTAAAAATATGTGGTCTTAAAAAGTTTGCAAGATGCCAGGGGAGCTCTGGTGGCCTAGTGGAAAGGAGCTGCAACTACAGTCCCAGAGGCACACGGTTCAAATCCACCAGATGCTCTGCCGGGAAAGGAGGGACAATCTCCTCCTGTACCAGTCAGATCTGATTTGATGGTACACTCACACAAAAATTAAAAATTTTAAAAAAAAGTTTACAATATACCAACCAAAAGATAACTGATCTCTATTCATCTGGAACAATAAAGAAAGAGAGTTAAAAATGGAAAATGTGATATTAATTGTCCCTATGAACAGTCGCCTCCTTTGTCATGAGATCAGAAGAAATGGATGGTTCCCAGCTACCATTGCTGTTATTATTGTGTTAATTGCCATCGAGTTGAGCATGAATCATAGCGACCCTATGAACAAAAGGCCCGAATCCTTTCTATAACTATCGACATTTATCAACGTTCATAAAGTTTTCAGAGGCATGTTGTTTAGGAAGTGGATGCCTCTCCTGCTTCCAAACCTATCTTAAACTGGGAGTTCCACCAAACATTGTCTACCAAGGGTAACTATTATGTCATTTGGCACCCTAATGGCACAAGGCTCAGCATCACAACAATATCAGGTTACCTAGGTACAGCATATTGACATAAGAGTGCTGTATCCTTAGAAGAATGTTCCTCCAAAATATAGTAACAACCAACTTTAAATACAAAGGCACTCCCCAAAGTCTTGTTGACTCTAAACAAGAGGCTTAAAGCTAATAAACATTTTAACCAAGGAATCCTGATCAAAAAGGAAAGAATGCAGAACAGAATATAAAATTTTCATAGGGATAATATCTAAACATAAAAAAAAATTTTACAACTAAGCCAGTGGGCAACATTATAATCGATGAAAAGATTAAAATTGTCAACATCTTCTTCTTACTTGGATCCAAAACAAACACCCTTGACATCAGCAGTGAAGAAATCAAAAGACAAATTGCACTGGGAAAATCTGCTATCAGGAACCTCTCCAAAGTAATGAGGAGCAATGATGTCAGTTGGAAGACTAAGGTGCTCCTGATTGAAGCCATGGTCTGAGAGCTGGATAGAGAATAAGGATGACAGAAGAAAAACCGGTGCCTTTGAACTGTGGTGCTGGACAAGAGTATTGACTATCCCAGGGACTGCCAAAAGAACAGACATGCCTTGAAGACTGTGCAGCCCAAGTGATCCTTACAGACAAGGATAGTGACGCGTCATCATACAGACTTTGGGCATATTGCTACAAGAGGGTGTTATTCGGAAAGAGTCATCATGCAAGAAAAGGTGGAAGGTCAGCAAATAGAGGAAGACCCTCAATGTCAAAGACTGACATAGTGACCGCAGCAACGGGCTCAAGTATGTCAGAGATTATGAAGATGGCACAGGATAGGACAGGATTCAGATCTATTGTTCATAGGATCACTATGAGTTATAATCAACTCACCAGCACGTAACAACAACAATAAGCCTTCTGGAACCATGGCAAGTAGATGAGCCCCTAAAACCATTTCCCTGAGATAATGTTTAAACCTTAAACTAAAAATGTCCCATGAAGTCATGTCAAAACTACACAATATTGTTGTTGTTGTTGTTGTGGTGGTGGTGGTGGTGGTGGTGGTGGTGGTGGTGCTACTGAGCCAACAATATTCATAACAATCTAAGAACAACAGATCTGAACTTTAACCTAGCCATCCTTTACCATCCTCATGATTTCCAACATGCTCAAACCAAACTAGAAGTAGCATATTTGAGTGTAACTACTAAAAAAGGTCTACCTTGAGCATTGTGCCCTTTTAAGAGCTACCTACAATGAGATCACATTAACAACAGAAACCAGAAAGATTAGATAGAATCCTTAGAGGGCAATGATTTTGTTAATGAAGGAGGAACAACTTGGAAATAAAGATGAGAATGGTTACACAATTCAGAGAAAGTGATCAATGACATTAAAATTGTTCACACAGAAACTGTTTTGTTTTTTATATTCTCAGTAACAACAAAATACGTCAAATTTAGGGGAAATTTCTACAGTCTAGGAAACAATATCAGCAATCCTACTCTGCCATGTGGGATTACTATAAACAGAGAAAGTAATTCAATGCCACCTAACAAGAAGGTTGGTATGGGACATACCAGAATGTCTGTGTACACACTCAAAAAGTTCTATGTGCAAGGCAAGAATAGTTTAAAAACACTCTAAAATAAAAACAACCGAAAAAAATGCTTTAAGTGTCTGTTGTTTTTAATTCAACTACAGAGCAAACATACAATAAACTCTGGTTGCCAGGTGAATTGAAAGAGAGAAAAACTGCACCAAATAAAGTATAAGCCACAAGCAGTTTAGAGAGAAACACTGCCCAATGAGAGCAACGAGGGACCCATGGACCACTCACCTTGGAAATGCAAGCACACTGCTCGGTCTCTTCCCAAGATCTTCTCTGCTGGACAGCACTGAGTCCACAGTGCCAGGCCTCTGGAGGAGAGGGAAAGAGATGTGTGAAACCTGGGTCACCACCACCACCAGGACACAGACAATTTAGATGTGAATATAGGCTGTCTCAAAGACAAAGTTACTACAATACTCTTTTCTTCCACACTTAAAGTTCAGAACTTAAACTTCAATAACGAATGTCTCATTCATTAATCGCTCTAATAGCTGCATTATAATTCTATTGATGCTACCTTTTCTCAAATCATTTCCACTGGAAATTACCTCTAGAGTTAACAGTTTTGTAGGAGAATATAGATATATACAAGCTATCAGGAAAATGAGCAAGCTAGCTAATTCTACCCTTGACCTAAATAATTCTAAAGTTGGGTAGCTATGAAAACAATTTGATTTTAGATAAACTCATGTTCAAATATCCAGACTGCTGCCAGATATGTGATTATCTAACTTAGAAATAAGAGGATTGTTGTTATTGTTGTTGTTGAGAACAGTTAAGTTAGAATTGACTCACAGCTTACCCTCCAGTGGTTTTTCAGAGGCAGTAAATCACAAGGAAGGAGACTGACTGACTTCCCTCCCCAGAACAGCTGGAATTCAAATCACATACCCTTGAATTGGTAGTGCAATTCCTTACCACTAAACCAACATAGTTCCCTTATCTTATATAAATTCCTTTTTCTTATATAGAAGTAAGATTAGGTACTCTCAAGTTGACTCCAACTCACAGAAACTCTGAGTCAGAGTTCAAAAGGATCCAATTTATCGCCTCCAATAGAAGGTAAGCTCAGGGTCGGCACACAACAAAGGCTAACAAACAACAAAGCAGCTGTGAGGAAAGATTGGCAATTTCCTCTTGGGTGTTTAAAGCCTTTGAAAACCTGCTTGAGGGTCAGCTATTCTGACTTGACAGCAATGAATTTTGAGTTTTACTTTAAGTGACTAATACACAGTATGCATTCAATAAATAGGATTTATTATATTATAAAAGAATCCTTTTTTGTATTAATTATTGATAATATACAAATTGACCAATAGAAAATATTTTTTTAAAAATATACAAATTATTCTTTTTATATTAACTATATGGCTCACAGATGGCTTTTGAAGGGAATTCCTCAGAAAAAGATTTTAAAGTATGTTGTGGAAAAGTTGTTGTCAGGTACTATCAAGTGGAGAACAAACCATAGTGACCCTATAAACAACAGATCTGAACGCTGTCCCTATCCTGTGCCATCTCCACACCTCCTGACACACTAGTGTGCAGCAGTCACCATGTCAATCCACCTGGTGGAGGGTCTTCCTTTCCTTCACCAACCCTCCACCTTTCCAAGTATCATGTCCCTCTCCAAGGAATAGTGCCTCTTAGCAACATGCCTGGAGTATGTGAAGTGAAATCTTATCATCTTTGCCTTCAAAGAGCACTCTGACTAGACCCTTTCCAAGACATATTTGTTTGCTCTTTTGCCAGCACTCTTTTCCCAACACCATAGCTCAAAGGCATCGATTCTTCCTCTTTCATCCATATTCATTGTCCTGCTCTCAGATGCATAGCAAGTGACTGCAAAGACAATGGCCTAAATCAGATGCATCTCGGTCCTCAAACTGACATCATTACTCCTCAATAATTTGGAGAGGTCCCTAACTGCAGACTTTTCCAATGCAATATGTCTTCTGATTTCCTGATTCCTGGTACCAAGGGTATTAATTGTGTATCCATGCAAGATGTAGTTGTTGACAGTTTCAATCCTTTCTCCATCCATCATGATGTTGTGTCTCAGTCCAGTGTTAAGAATCATTGTCTTCTTGACATTGTGATGCAATCCACACTGAACGCTGAATTACTTGATCTTCTGCAACAAGTGTTTCAAGTCCTCCTCACTTTCAGCAGGCAAGTATGTGCAATCTGCATGACACAAGTTATTGATGAGTATCCCTCTGATCTTGATGTCACATTCCTCTTCACAGAGTAAAGCTTCTCAAATAATTTGCTCAGTATACAGACTGCATAGTTATGGAGAGAGAATACAACACTGACACTACCTCTTCCTAATTTTAAATAACTTAGTGTTCACTTTCTCTGTTAACACAACAACCTCCTGGACTAGGTATAGTTTTGGCATGAATACACATAAGTGCCCTGGGACTCCCATTCTTCTCTAAGTCAGCCATAACTTGTGATGACCACACAGTCATCACAATCAGTAAAGTATAAATAGAAATCTTTTCTTTCAGCCAGCATCCATCTGACATCAGCAATGATATCCCTGGTGCCACGGCCTCTTTTAAATCTTGCTTGAACTTCTGGCAGTTTCCTATTTATGTACTGTTCTAGCCATTTTTGAATGATCTTCGGCAGTATTTTGCTTGAATGTGGTATTAATTAATAGTTTACACATTCTGTTGGATCACCTTTCTTGGTAATGGGAACAAACATAAACCAACTATGGAGGAAAAGTCACATCACTGATGCACAGCTTCCTCAAAGGACGACTCTGTAGGACAGTGCACAGATTTACATTACGGTACATTTGGGGGGTACGGGGGAGAAATGTACCATATTATAAACCTGCCTACTTTCTCAAAACTGTATTCTGGAGCTGGGACTGTGATATTAATGATATATTCTGGAGATGTGAATGTGATATTAATGATACATTCTGTAGATGTGAATGTGATGTTAATGATACATTCTTTAGATGTGAATGAGATATTGTGACTGAGATAAGATTATTGGGTCAACATAAACTTCCATAATAAAATAGGTCTGGGTAGTTAAACAGCTTCCTAACAGACTTTGCAGAAGAAACTTTAAAATGCTAATGTGCTGTGTGCCTCTGTTCATGAAGGTGAGATAAGCAGCAGTGGTCAATGAATTTAGCCTCTCAGAGTATCTTTCAGGATTAGGGTTGTTGTTGTTTGGTGTTTTTTGTTTTTTTTAAAAAAAGCTTCTTCAAAATTCTGCCTCATTTGTTAAAGATGCTTCATCCTCTAATTTAGTAAGTTTTGTTTTAAAAACGTAATTCTTCAAAGTGAAGCAGGTCAAATATCTTCCCTTTAGACCCTTACATATTAAGCTATAAAGTTCAGCTATCTCCCTATCTCTTAGGGAGATAGCTGAACCATGGACCACCAGGAGGACAAAAAGGTCTGCCATAGAGAGGGTGAACCAAGTTTCTCCTTGGAGCCAAGGATTTCTTGAAGCTCCGTCTCACAGACTTTGGGCATGTGGCCATAAGGGAATGATCCTTGGAGGACATCATGCATGGAAGGGTGGAGGGACAGCACAGGAGAGGAAGACCCAGGATGACACGGATTAATATGGTATCCAGGGTGTGTTGGAATCAGTAAAACTGGCTCAGGACAGGGCAGGGTTAAGAGCTATTGTACATGTCATAGGCTACTGGATAACACATAAGAACAACCAAATCTCCCTAAGCCTTAGAAATGGACCACTTGACTCTGGTTTTGCAAATCATTTTTATAGAAAAGAGAAAAGTATGCCTGTGTGTGTTTCTACTTTTCCACATAAAGGATTGGGATTCTGTTTTTTATTGTTGCTGTTAAATGTCCTTAGGAAACCCTCTATAATGTCAGATTTTACTTTAAAAAATCAAGAGCCTCAGTATGCACAATTCTGTTTCCTATATTGCTAAATCTAGACGTTCATGAAAGGAGAAATTGCTATAATTTGAACATATTAATAACCTTTCCTTTATAAGTCAGTCATTTGCTCTATGTACACAAGATTATACATCATTCAACTTTGTCAGTTCAACTTTGTTAGTTCCCTAATTTACACCTAAATCAAGAATTCAATAAATCCTCATTGACTATTTCATTGCCTTCTTAAACTTCTCTATGTTGAACCTGAGATCACTAAATAAAAAAGTTTCTGTTTGCCTACTAACCTAAAAGCTAGTAATCTGAATCCACTCAGAGGCACTTTGAAAGAAAGGCCTGGAGGTTTGCTTCTGACAGGACACAGCTTTGAAAACCCTGTAGAGCAGGTCTAATCTGCATACAGGGGGTTGCCATGAGTTGCAAATGACTTGAAGGCAACTAACAACAACAAGATGTCCAATTTAGCAAGAAGGTCACACAAGCCCAGACTCACCTCTTACCTAATGGTTAAAATGATGTCAATTCCAATCATGTAATCTAATTTATGTGTTATGGACCTATTGCTGCCAAAGTCTAGCTTCTAGCTGTCCTGCTTTTAATTCCTTTGATGATCTTTCAACTAATTATGAATTATATAATCTTTATTTTCCACTCCAAAAGGCCATTTTCACACTGACAATGGACATCTCCCTGGTATAGACTGTCTCTATCCCTCAATAAATCAATTTGCTTTTATTCAAAACAAATAACAATAGGGCCAATTTTTAAATTCTTCTCTACATGGAAAATTAAATTATTTCTATGACTTGGATTAGATTCTCTTTTAAATCTTGACTGAAATAAAAAAGAAGTATGGTTGTAACATCTTTGGGTTTGAATCCCAGATCTATCAGTTAGCACTCTGACCTCATGGTTCCCAAATAAATTTCTCATTCATAAACTTACTGTGATGATGCCAAATTTACAATGTTTTGAACTGAGTTGAATTCATATATATATGGAAGAAATCTATAAACTATAACTTTTCTATTGCATTTCAATAGATTCTGATTCATAACAATCTTATAAAACAAAGCAGAAATGTCCCATCGAATTCCCAAGCTGAAATCTTTGCCAAAGTAGACTGACACAGAAAGTGGTCGGTGGGTTCACAAAGTTGACCTTTTGGTTGGCAGCTGAACACTTAACTGATGTGCCACCACAGTGTCTTTTGTAAACTGTAAGGTACAAAAAAATATTGAGAATTGATCATTTCCATTACCTCATCAATTAGCACTGACTCAAAACTTAGAATTTTTCTTTTATCCTTCTGGAAACTCTTTTTTGTCTAAGAGGATAAACAAGTACATGCACTAGGGGAAATTATTCTTTTAAAATATATAAATTTGGGCTCATGGTTCGAATCCACCAGATGCTCTGCTGGAGAAGGAAGGGCACTCTCCTCCTGTGCCAGCTGGATCCGATTCGACAGTACACAACAAGAGGGGGAAAAAAGAAAAAATATAGAGAGAGAGAAACTTGTTTTACATCTATAGATTATCTAGAGGTATAACTTGAGAGAAGAGTGAGGAAAAGAAAACATTTATTTACATTTTTTAAGGCTTTCACCAAACTCTCACTTCCATCCATGGCACAAAGAAATTCCTTATAAAATCTCATCTTCACTTTACTTTGTTTGATGATGAGGACTCCGATTCCTTTAAATGTAAACGCCACATTTTGTTTTGTGGAAATGGATCTTGATAAAAAAAGCAATGTCTCCTTCACACATCCTTCTACTACATCCCTGGTAAATGGACTCTCCATGGATATCATGGTAAAATTAAGTGGAATAATTGGGATATCACCTAAAGGAGAAAAAAAAATAGAATGGGGTGAGGGGGTGGAACAGTGTATATTTCTAATAAGGACAGAAGACATACAAATAATTATTAGACTCTCACTTAATACTCAAAAGCAATTGTCTGTATGAAGACTTAAGTCATACCTAATGTAAATTATATATTACTATTTATAACATAAATCATAAGGTATCATTTCTCCTAAAAACAGGTGTTATGTTCAAAATAAGAAAAAAAAACCACTTTGTATGACTCTGGACATACTTTCTGGTATTCCCTTAAAAACACAGTAATAACTAACCATTTTTCTCACTTTTCAGTTTGCCGTATTTTTCAGGGCAAACGCAATATTGCCTATCTCCTCTAATAACACAGAATTTTTGTGTGTGTGTGAGAAAAATTTATTACATTTAGAATTAGCCCGCTGGACTCAGTTTAGATGATCCCAATTTTGTTGGCAACATCCAAAGCATCATAATCAGGAGCAAGTCGAACATAGGCCTTCTTCTCTCCATCAGGCCTAATCAAAGTGTTGACTTTAGCCACATCAATGTCATAGAGCTTCTTTACAGCTTGTTTAATTTGGTGCTTGTTGTCCTTGACATCCACAATGAACACAAGTGTGTTGTTATCTTCTATCTTCTTCATAGCTGACTCAGTGGTCAGGGGAAATTTGATGATGGCATAGTGGTCAAGCTTGTTTCTCCTGGGGGTGCTCTTCCGAGGGTATTTGGGCTGCCGTGGGAGTCTCAGCGTCTTAGGCCGCCGGAACGTGGGTGACGTGCGGATCTTCTTTTTTTTTTTGGCTGTGGACGCCCTTCAGGACTGCCTTCTTGGCCTTCAATGCCTTTGCTTTGGCTTCAGTTTTGGGAGGGGCAGGGGCTTCCTTCTTCGCTTTCGGCGCCATCTTCGTAGCAGAATTTTTAAATAATACAAATATCGACAATACAAGTGTTTTAAAAATAATATTCTCCACTAGAAGTTACCTTTAAAATGAATTTGATACAGGAGCTGACACATCTGAACATCCATTGAATGGATGGCTTTCAAAATATTTTTCTTGTGGAGCTCTGGTGGCCTAGTGGCAAGAAGCTGCACTGCAATCCCAGAGATATGAGGTTTGAATCCACCAGATGCTCTGTCTGAGAAGAAGGGGCAATCTCCTCCTGTACCAGTCAGATCCATTTGACAGTACATACACAAAATAATAAAAAAATAAAAATTTAAAATATTTTTAAAAAATATTTTTCTTGAGTTAACATATGAATGATGCAGTAAAAGAATATGTTTCTCTCTAGTTCATAGTCAACTTGATGGCACCTGACAACAATAGCTTGAAGGAAGCATAGGGTTCTTTTAATTAGAACAGTATGTAAGAGCTATACAAGGTCTATAAGTCACGAAAAGGGACAAATAGAAAAAAAGATCATTTTTTTTAAAATCCAGAGACAATACAGAATGTTAATGACTGAATAACAGGCCAGAGGGGGAAAAAAGCCGAGAACATTTTAGACATTCATTTGTTGTTGTTATTATGTATTAATGAGTTGCTTGTGACCCATAACAACCCTATAATGTTAAGTAAGGGATGTTAAGGATTTTTAAATTCATCCTGTAGGCTTTGAGCAGGGAATTACTGGTCCAGTTCTTAGTCCAGAAATACAGCTCCTTTAATTCAGTTGATAAAATCCTGAAGGAGGTATGACAATCAGAAGAAAGATGAAAGGAACTATCCATGGCAAACTAAAGGTAGTAGAATCGATGGAATTCAGTTACCATATGAAAGTGGTGATTAGATTACATTTCTTCTTTGGAGAATAGATAGCGGCTCATGTAATTAGCATAAGGGATAAAGGAGGAAGGTAGGTTCTGATGAGGAATAAAATAAAGAAGTTGGTTTTGAGTTTGAGATTCCCATAAGATCATCTAAATAAAGATGATTCCAGAACTCAGAGAGAGGTGAAGATTACAAGACAAGGTCCAAGAGTCACTAGTATTTTGTTACTGAAATCGTTACAATAAATAAAGATTATCTAGAGAAAGAATATAAGTTATGAAAACGAGAAAGAATTGGGGGGGAGGTGGAAATGGTATCTTATTCTGATTCAGAATGGAATGGAAGTCAGCAATATAGGACTAGAAGGAGAAAACAGGAGAACCAAGAATGAGTCATGGATAAGATAAAAGAAGGCATGGACAGCAGAAAAGAAAAAGTTTTGAGAAACAAGGTCTATGAAGTGCCTACTAGCTTGTCTATTCTGAGATGATGGTATCCTTGGTAAGATGAATATAACTGCTAGGCAGATGCAGAGACATGAAAGAATGGAAGAAGACAATGTAGAGGCAAGGTTTATAGCTTTCTCTCTTAAGAAATGTATTTAAAAATGAAGAGGGATAATATAAAGTAAAATTATGCATAAGACAGATGATACAAGGCTGATTGTGTTTTGTAAAAGTGCTAATCTCTGCCTTTTAGCAATAATGAACATTTGAAAAACTATCAATTCATGCTCACCAAATAAATGTCTATATGCAGAACAGGTTATTCAGGAGGCTGGGTTTTATGAGGAGGAATGTGGCATCAGGATTGGAGGAAGACTCATCAACAATCAACATTATGCAGATGTCACAAAGCTGAAAGTGAGAAAGACCAGAAACACTTGCTGCAGAAGGTCAAGGACTATAGTCTTCAATATAGATTGAAGCTCAGTATCATGAAGACAAAGATTCTCATCGCTGAGCCAACTTGCAGCACCATTATAGATGGAGAAGAAATTGAGCTTGGTTACAGCTTTAGTTTGCTTGGCTCCACAAGCAATATTCTTGGCATCAGCAGTCAGGGAATCAAAAGATTAATTGCACTGGGAAGATCTGCTGTCAGGGAACTCTCAAGCTGTCAGGGAACTCTCCAAAGTACTGAAAAGCAATGATGTCATTCTAGAGACTAAGGTGCACCTGATCCAGGCCATGGTCTTTGCAATTACTTGCTACACATCAGAGAGCTGGACAATGACTAAGGATGACAGAAGAATTATTGATGCCTTTGGGTTGTGGTGCTGGAGAAGAGGTCCATACTCTGACCACCAAGGAAATAGGAAGGTCTGTCTTGGAGAAAGTGAAACCAAGTTTCTCCTTGGAGGAGAAGATTTTGAAGCTCCATCTCACATACTTTGGGCAAGTGGCCAGGAGGGACTGGACCTTGGAGAAGGCCATCATGCTTGGAAGGGTGGAGGGACAGTGCAGGTGAGGAAGACCCTGGATAAGATGAATTGATACAGTAAATGGGACAATGAGGGTGGGAGAGCTGGAGTGAGATTGGTTCAGGCCAGACCAGGCACTTTTGTATGCAGGGTCGCTGAGTCACAGGCGACTTGACACATAACAACAACACCCCTTACGAGAACCCTCACTGTATGACCCCCTACCTACCACACTTTTATCTTATCATCCTCTATTTGCTCCTGTTGTCAATAGTCAATAAAGCATAAATAGACATTCTTCTGGTATTCCTTACTTTCAGACAAGATCCATCTGACATCAGCAGTGATATCCCTGGTGCCACGTCCTCTTCTAAATCCCACTTGAACTCTGGCAATTCCCTATCTATGTATTACTGCAGCCATTTTTAAATGAACTTCAGCAGGATTTTGCTTGCATGTGATATCAATGATATTGTTCGATAATTTCTACATTCAATTGGATCACTCTTCTTGGGAATAGGAATGAATATGGACCTCTTCCAATCCGTTGGCCATCCATCCATCCTCCAAATGTCCTGGCATAGACTGGTGAGAGCATTCAAGACCGCGTCTGTTAATTGAAACAAGTCAATCTGTATCCCATTAATTCCTGGGGCCTCATTTCTTGCCAATGCCTTCAATGCACCTTCTGTTTCCTCTTTCATTACCATTAGCTCTTGTTTATATGGTACTTCCTGAAATTTTTCAGTGCCAATCAATTCTTTCTGGTACAGTGACTCTGTTTATTCTCTCCATCTTCTTTTGATGTTTTTTTGAGTCATTCAATATATTGCCCATAATATCTTTCAACATTACAACACAAGGCTTAAATTTGTATTTCAGTTCTTGCAGCTTGAGAAATGCAGAACAAGTAGTTCCATTTTTATTCTCCAATTCCAGCTCTCTGCACATTCTAATACTTTGCTTTGTCTTCCTGAGCTGTCCTTAGAAATCGTCTATTCAACTCTTTCATTTCAACATGTTTTCCTTTAGATTTGGCTTCTTGACATTCCAGTGCAATCTTTAGACTCTCTTCTGACATTCATTTTGATTTTTCCTTTCTCCTCTGTTTTTGTAATGGCCTTTTGCTTTCTTCATGGATAATATCCTTGATATCATCCCACAATTCATCTAGTCTTTTATCACTAGTGTTCATTGCCTCCTCAAACCTATTCTTAAGATGATCATGAAATTCTGATGGAATTGATTCAAGATCATATCTTGGTTCCTTTGTATTTATTTTCATTTTCTTTGGTCTCAATTTGAACTTGCATATGAGTAATTGATGATCTGACCCACAGTTTCCCCACCTTGCCTAGTTTTGACTGCTGATACTCCAACAATTTCTTCCACAAATGCAGTCAGTCTGATTCCTATGCAGCCCATTGGGCTGTGTGGATTATGATAAGTTGTGGCTGACACTGAGAAGAATGGGAATCCCAAAGCACTTGATTTTGCTCATAAGGAACCTACACCTGGATCAGGAGGCTGCTGTGCCAGTGGAGCAGGGGAGCAGTGCATGGTTTGGAATTGGGAAGGGAACGCATCAGGGATGTATTCCCTCTCCATACCTGTTCAATTTATATGCTGAGCAGATTATCCGAGAAGCTGGACTCTGTGAAAAGGAATGTGGCATCAGGATCGGAGGGAGACTCATCAATAACCGGCATTATGCAGATAGCACAACCTTGCTTGCTGAAAGTGAGGAAGACTTGAAGCAGTTGTTGCAGAAGATCAAGGAATGCAGCCTTTGGTATGGATTGTGACATATTATCAAGAAAACAAAGATTCTTACCACTGGACCAATAGGCCATGTCATGATGGATGGATGGATGGATGGATGGATGGAGATGGATGGCTGGATGGATGGAGAGGAGATTGAAACTGTCATCAGCTTCATCTTCCTTGGATCCACAATTAACACCCTTGGTATGAGCAGTCAGGAAATAAGGAGACACATTGCAATGGGAAAATCTGCAGTTAGGGACCTTCCAAATTATTAAGGAGAAGTGATGTCAGTTTAAGGACTAAAGCATGTCTGATTCAAGCCACAGTCTTTCCAATTATTAGCTATGCATCCAAGACCTGGATAATGAATAAGGATGACAGAAAAAGAATTGATGCCTTTGAGCTATGGTACTGGAGAAGAGCACTGAGCATCCCATGGATGGCCAAGAGAATGAACAGATATGTCTTGGAGAGGGTGCAGGTGGAGTGCTCTTTGGAGGCAAGAATGTTGAGGCTTTGCCTCACATAAATTGGACATACTGCTAGGAGGTGTTATTCCTTGGAGAGGGAAATGATGTTGAGAAGTGTGGAGAGTCATTGAAGTAGAGGAAGACCCTCAATCCGCTGGACTGACACGGTGACTACTGGGCTCTTGTGTGTCAGGAAGTGTGAGGATGGCGTAGAACAGGTGTAGGTTCAGATCCACTTTGCTATGCACCGCTTATTCTGGACTGTTGTCATGCAAATAATACCTAACTATATATATTACTTTTAGACAGTTCTTTCCCTCTCATTTTTATCAGTAAATTTTTATAAAGTATAAAATAAAATTTCACATTAATGAACAAAGACCAGATGAGCTGCAGGAGGAGTATCAAGAATATCATCCATGAAGAATCAAAAGGTTATTACAGAGAAAGAAAAGACCAAAATGTATGTCAGATAAAATTCTGAATATTGCATTAGAGTGCCGAGAAGCCAAAACAAAGGAAAGAAATCAAGAAGCTAAGAAGCTGAACAGAAGATTTCAAAGAGCAGCATGGAAAGACAAAACTAAGTATTATAATGAAGTGTGCAAAGAGCTGGAATTGGAAAACCAAAAGGGATGAAAGCACTCAGCATTTCTTAAGGTGCAGGAACTGAAGAACAAATCCAAGCCTTGAGTTACAATACGTAAGGAAGCTGTGGACAGAATGCTGAATGACCCAGGAAGCATCAAAAGACAAGCGAAGGAGTACACAGAGTTACTATACCAAAATGAATAGACTGACACAGAAGAATTTCATGAAACAACACCTGATCAAAAGGCAATGATGATAAGAGAAGTTAAAGCTGCTCTGAAGGTACTGGCAAAAAACAAAACCCCAAGAATTGATGGAATACCAATTCACATATTTCAACAAACAAATGCTGGATGTGTTCAATAGGTTGTGCCAAGAAATCTTGAGGATAATTAGTTAGCCAACTGACTGAAGAGAACCATATTTATTCTCATTCTGAGAAAAAGTGATCCAACAGAATGTGGAAATTATTGAACAATATCATTAGTATTGCATGCAACTAAAACTCTGCTGAATATTATCCAAAAACAACTGGAATAGTAGAACAATAGAGAACTGCCAGATATGTAGGCTGGGTTTAGAAGAAGTTGTGGCACGACATTATAGCCAATGTTAGATGTATCTTGGCTGAAAGCAGAGAGAACCAGCAGAATGTCTGTTTCATTGACTATGCAAAGTCATTTGACAGTGTGGATCACGACAAATTGTGGCTAATCTTGGGAAGAATGGGAATCCCAGAACATTTGGTCATGATTATATGAAATCTATACATGGACCAGGAGGCAGTCATCAAAACAGAGCCAGGAAACACTGCATGGTTCAAGAACAGGAAAGGCATATGCCAGGGATGCATCCTACCTCCGTATCTTTTCAATGCATATGCAGATCATCTGGGAGGGAGGCTGGGCTTTATGAAGAGGAATGTGGCATCAGAATTTGAGGAAGACACATCAACAACCTGCATTATTTAGATGACACAACCCTGCTTGCTGAAACTGAGGAGGACCTGAAGCACTTGCTGCAGAAGATCAAGGACTGCAGCCTTCAATATGGATTGAAGCTCAACATCAAGAAAACAAAGATTCTCACCACTGGGCCAACTGGCAGTGTCAGGATAGATAGAAAAGACATTGAGATTGTTAATAGCTTCAGCTTGCATGGTTCAACAATGAGCACTTTTGGTACTAGCAGCCAGGAAATTAAGAGATGAATTGCATTGGGGAAATCTGCTATAAGGGACCCCTCCAGAGTACTGAAGAGCAACAATGTCAGTTTAGAGATTAAAATGTACCTGATCCAGCTATCATCTTCACAATTACTTGCTATGCATCAGAGAGCTAGCTGAACAATGACTAAAGATGATGGAAGAAGAATTGATGCCTTTGAGTTGTGATGCTGGAGAAGAGTATTGAACATACCATGGACTGCTAAGAGAACAAACAAGTCTTGGAAAGGGTGAAACCAGGCTGTTCCTTGGAAGCTAGTATTTTGAAGCTCTATCTCACATACTTTGAGCATGTGACCAGGAAGGACCAATCCTTGGAAAAGGACATCATGCTTTTAAGGGTGGAAGGACAGAGGAAGAGAGGAAGATGCTGGATGAGATGGATTGACTCAGTCACTGAGATAAGGGAGATAGGTGTGCTGGAGACAATGAAATTGGCTCAAGATAGAGCAGCATTCAAAGCTGTTGTATAAAGGGTCACTATGAGTCACAAGCAACTCAATGGCATGTAACAATAGCAGCATGATTGTTTATGACAGATGTGTCATCTGTCATAAAACTGTAAATAAGAATGACTGAAAAGTTTCATCAAATTCACCATATTGAATATGTATGCATGATGAATACTAACTATAGTTATATAGTTACTCTATAATTTTCAGGAAAGTTTGCTTTAAGGAAAAGTAGAACCTTTTCACCTGCTGGTATTAGAGCAGATAAAAAGTCATCCAAGTATGACTTTAATGTAGTAAGGTACAATAAGGAGAATTCAAAATGACCACAACCAGGAATCAGAAAGAAACACTTCAAAGACTTCTAAGGAACCAAGGCAGCTATCACAGAATCCATGTATTAAAGAGAGGATGTGAGTGTCCTGTAGCAAGACTTATAGGTTTGTTCATTCAAACATCTGGAACATATAACACATAACTGACCCCTCAGTAAATATATCCAAAAAGAAAAAAAGAAGTTGGTTGGAGTATATAATATATGCAAGGTACTAAGTCTTTATGTAATCGTTAAACATCTAACTTTCAAATTTTAATAATTTAGATTATGTATGTGAGAGGTATATGTAGTGTTATGTTCTTTGTCACAGTTAATAAATGACTGTGATTCTCCCAACCAAGTACCATGGCTAGCATTTATTCTCTTTATGATCACTTTTTGTTACATAGGACCTGATACACTAAATTATGGTTTTTTTATGAATTTGACTTAATGTTATATCAGATCTGCTCATACCAATCTCCTGAATAACTGAGATTTGAAATGCATACAGAAAGAGTGTATTATTTTCCTTAATCTCTTACCACCATCCTACCTCTGTCAGGGTAAGTCAGGTAAAAAAAAACAAAAAGCGATAGCCTCAAGTCAGAAATTAATAAAGCAGCACTTGGCCCCATTTGCCCTTTCATTTTCATTCCCAGAGAAGGCTTTAAATTTTAAAGTGATTTACCAGGAGTATGTATTTTATTTTTTTTAAGTCCATGGAGCTGTACTAACTTCTCCGCCAAAATAAATACAGGCCTCTGAAGTAGAACACATTTGTTTCCCACCTCAAGCTTTTGTCTTGTGAAAGTGAAAATTCCAAGTCCAGGAATTTGAACACCCTGAAAGGAAAAAGAGGAAACAAAATACATAATTGAAGAAAAAAATTCTTTTGCAGTTATCTAAAGTACATAAAAAGAATCAAGCTGAAATCTTAAAAATTCAATGGCCTCTATGATCCCTTACAGCACTGACATTTGAAATTTTAACATTTCAAATCATTTCAGTCCGTCATAATATATCAATCTATCAATCATCATAATATATCAATCTAAAGGCAATGTTTCAATCTTTAAGGGAAAGAAATTTAAAAGGATAAGAACCTTTGCCTCTCATTCCTTCTCTTAGGTTTTATGTCTCTGACTTAAAACCAGACAACACAGAATCCAAAGTACATGTGGAGTGTGATGGTCCTGGCTGATAGAAAGAACCAGATGTTTTTGGTTCACAAATTGGTTCTCTATCTACATGAAAACATCTTAAATAAAGAGTTAAAGATTCAAAAGCCTAAATAGGTTAAGAAAGAATAGAAGGGAGTAATAGAAGGAATAATGTGCCAAACATTATGGCAAGAGCGTGTATGCCCAGCTAAAAGGGAAAGCCTAGGATCAGCTCCGATGAATCTTTCACACAAATGCTCCTAATTTTAAGTGGTACATAGTAATTCAGTTTCAAGGCAAACAATAAGCTTAGAGGATGACTCCTGCCAAAACATTGTAATATTGTGTCTTCTGAGTTACATATAAAAATTCACAAACCTTCCAGTTACCTCCAACCTTCTCAAGTTCTAAAGCCAACCCAAACTCAGCAGTAATAAATAGTCCAGCCTGGACTTCTTTCTTATTTTTGGCAAACTGGATTAACTCTCTGTCTTCTTACATTGCAATTAAAATCCATTCCCCACAATGAAACAAGACAAAATGCATTCTATCCAACTATAGCCAGGCTGGAACTACCAGGTCACAGATAAACAGAAGTGCTCTACTTCCTCTACACAAGCTTCAGCTGGTCAGCAATGCTTTCTTTCATCATTAGAAGAATGATTCAGATTCTTCTTCACCTGAGTCACACATTCATGACTTGGAGATAAAATCTGTGATTAAATATGCTGAAAATGAGATTAAATCTGCTAAGCATAAATCCGAAGGGTAACCACCATAAAATCACAGGTTTTAAAGCTAACCTGGATGGTTTCCAAATCTATTTTCAACTCTCATCAAAGTTATACAAGTCTATTAAAAAATTATATATACATACAAGACTATAGGACTATAGTGGTAAGAAACTGCACTGGAATCCCAAAAGTATGTGGTTTGAATCCACCCACTGCTCCACGGGAGAAGAATGGGCAGTCTCTCCTCTAGTGCAATTAACAGCATCTGAAAACCTGCTGCAGGGTCAGCTATGGGTCAGTTCTGACTCTATGGTACTCACCAACAACACAGAAGAAAGAGCTTTTAACCTCCTACACTAAAAGTAAAGTCTAAATCTTACCTTGTTCATAGTTAGATGCCGTTGAACAAATTCTGACACATTTTCCCAAATAGTAGATACTTCTGAAATAAAAAAAAGCCAACCCAAAATTAGTTTAATTTAAAGAAAAATGTGTTTTGTTTTGGTTTGGTGTTTTTTTTTTTTTTTACCTGGTCCAAACAAATATGTTTGCATTAATAAGACAAAAAACCAAACCAGGGAGCTCTGGTGGCATAGCTTGTAGGGAGCTGTGCTGCTAATACAAAGGTGGCACCACTCTGGCAGTTCAAAGCCACCAGCAGCCCTGTGAGAGATAACTTAGATGTTAATAAATAAAAAACTAAATATGAAACACAGTCTCACATAACAGTTATTCCTATCAGAAACTAAATACTGATAGCAGTATTTAGATGTCAGTCTCAAGACTAAGGTGATCCAAGCAATGGTCTTCTCGATTGCCTGATAATGCAGCTGAGGGCTGGATAATGACTGAGGATGCCAGAAGAACAACAGATTCCTTTGAGTTGTGGTGTTGGAGGAGAGTATTGAACATATGGCGGCTGCCAAGAGAATAAACAGGTCTACTTGGAGAGGGTAAAACCAGGTTACTTCATGGAGGCAAGGATTTTAAAACTCTGTCTCACATACATTGGCCATGTTGTCCATGGAGAAGAACATTGTAAGGGTAGAAGGTCAGCACAAGAGAGGAAGACCCTGGAGGAGATGGACTGACAGTGACTGTGGCAATGAAGTTGACTGAATCAGAAATGGTGAAGGTAGCTCAGGATAGAGCAAAGTTCGGAGCCACTGTTCATGGGGTAGCTATGAATCATAGTTGACTCAACGGCACATGAACACCACCCTCATCATCTCTGACATACTTGAGCACATTGCTGCAGTCACTGTGCCTATCCATCTCATTGAGTCTTCTCTCTTTCACTGACCCTCCACCTTAGTCTTTAAACTGACATCATTGCTCTTAATACTTTGGAGAGGTCCCTGACAGCAGATTTTCTCAATGCAATACATCTTTTGATTTCTTGATTACTGACTAGCAAGGATGTTTACTGTTGTTACAAATAAGAATAAATGGTTGCAATCTTCTCCTTCTATCATGATGTTGCATATTAGCCCAGCTGTGAGAATTTTTGTTTTGATACTGAGAAGCAATCCATATTGAAGGCTTTAGTCTTCGATCTTCTGTAGCAAATGTTTCAAGTTCTCACTTTCAGCAAGCAGAGCTGTATCACATGTATAAGGTAGGATGCTGATAAGCCTTCTTCTGACCATGATTCTTCAAAAATTTCAGCTTCTCAAATTATTTGCTAAGCTTATAGATTGAATAAGTATGGAGAAAGGTACAGCCTTGATGTACATCCTTGCTCTTTCAAATAACTTTTTTATTTTTAAATAACATTGTTATTTTATACTGGTTCACTTACAAAGTTCAAACACATTGTTTTTCACACTGAATCTTTCCCATTTCCTTTACCCATCCCTCCCTCTACCCATCAAATTGTGCAACCCTATGATTATCCCCTGCCCATCCTCACCCCTCTGCTTCTACTCACCCCCACTTGGCGCCTCATACCCATTTTACTAGTTATATATTTCTACAAAATTAGTCTTATACAGTATTTGTCCCTATGGGACTGAGTTAGTTCACATAGCATAATGCTCTCCAGTCCCTCCCACATTAGTGCTTTTCAAAATCATTCCTCCTGCATGCTGCATAGTATTCCATCATGAGTGTTCCATAAGTTCTCAATCCATTTGCCTGTGATTGGACATCTGAGCTGTTATTGTGATGGTGAATAATGCTGCTATGAACACTGGTATACAAATTTCCATTTGCACCTCAGTACTCATTTCTCAGGGCATATTCCAAGCAGTGGAATAGTTGGGTGACATGGAATTACTAAGTACAGCTGTTTGAGGAAATGACGAACTACCTTTCAGAGTGACTATACCATTTTACAATCCCACCAACAGTGGAAATGAGTTCCTATCTCACATATTCTCTAACATTTACTACTTGCTGTCCTGTTAAACTTTGCCAGTGCTACTGGAGTGAGATGGTCACTCATTGTGTTTTGATTTGCATCTCTCTTATTACCGTTATTTGGAGCATTTCTTCATGTGTTTGTTAGCCATCTGAACATCTTCCTCTGTGAAAAGCCTTTCCATGTCTTTTGCCCTTTTTGTAATTGTGTTATCCATCTTTTTCTTGTGAACCCCCTGTAGGATTCTGTAAACTTCTGATATAAGACCTTTGTCTGAAATGATATTGGCCAAAAGTTTTTTCCCCAGTCAGTAGGTTTTCTTTTCATTCTGTTGGAAATTGTTTTTGATGCACAAGGGTATTTTAATCTTTAGAAAGTGCCATTTATTAATGTTATCCTCTCCTGGTTATGTATGTCTGGCTGTATTTTTCAGTCTTTTTATTCCATGAGCTAGGCCTTCTAAGCTTGGTCCTACTTTGTCTCTCATCCTCTTTATGGTTTTGGACTTTACCCCTAGGTTTCTGATCCACCTTGAACTGACTTTTGTATATGGTGAAATGGTAAATTCTGATTCAACTTTCTGCAGGTAGTTGTCCAGTTTTGTCACCACCATTTGTTGAAGAGGTTGTCATTTCCCTGCTTGATAGGTTTTGTTTCTTTTTTGACTATCAGTTGACCATAAATTGAGGGACTAATTTCTGGGTCCTCCATTCTTTTCCAGTTGTCCATGTGACTGTCACTGTACCAGTACCATTTTGGTTATTTCTGTAAAGCAGTGTAGTAGGTTTTGAGATCAGGAAGTGCTATGCCTCCAACTTCATTGCTGTTTTCAGAAGTGCTTTGCTTATTCAAGAGGTCTCTCTTTACTCTGAATAAACTTGCTAATTGCATTTTTTACCTCTTTGAAAAATGAATTTGGTATCTGTATTGGGATTGTGTTAAACATGTAGATTGCTTTTAGTAGGATTGTCATATTTTACTATATTGAATCTTCGTATCCATGAACAAGGAACATTTTCCATTTTTTTAGGTCTTTTATTTAGACAACTTCTTGGTCTAGGTATAGGTTTTGTATGAGCATAGTTTTCTGAGATTTCCATTCTTCTCAATGTTAACCGTAGTTAGTTATGATTCAAACAGTTAAATGTTTTACACTGTCAATAAAACACAAATAGACATTCTTCTACTATTCTCTGCTTTCAGCCAGGATCCATCTGAAATCAACAATGATATCCCTGGTGCCACAACCTTTTCTAAATCCAGCTTGAATATCTGCAAGTTCTTTGTCAATGTACTGTTGTAGCTGTTTTTGGATGATCGTCACCAATATTTTACTTGCATGTGATACTAATGGTATTGTTGGAAAATTCACACATTCTGTTCATCTTTCTTGGAAATGAGAACAAGTAAGGATCTCTTCCAATCACTCAGCCAGGTAGTTATCTCCCAAATTTCCTGCCACAGACTGGTGAGTACACCCAGGGCTGTACCTATTAATTGAAGTATGTCAATTGGTATCCCATTGATTCCTGGGACCTTATTTTTTTGCCAGTGCTTTTCTTGCAACTTTAGTTTCTTCCTTTATTACCATTGACTCGTTAGCATATGCTGCTTTCTTAAATATTACAATGCCAATCAATTCTTTTAGTACTGTGACTCTCTGTATTCTCTCCATTTTCTTTTCATAATTCCTGAATCATTCACTATTTTACCCACAGTGCCTCTCAGTATTGCAACTGTTGTTGGTTGACTTCAAGTCGAGCATGACTCATAGTGACTCAATGAACAAAAGGCCTGAAGCCCCTCTACAACTATTGACAGTTATCAAAGTTCATAGTGTTTCCAGAGACACGTTGTTTAGGAAGTGGATGTCACTCTTGCTTCCAAATCTGTTATTGTTGTTATGTGCCATTGAGTCACCTGCAATGTATAGTGACCCTATGTACAGCAGCTCTAAACCCTTCCCTGTCCTGAGCTAGTCTCACTAATTCCGACACACCAACCCCCATCGATGGCCCCAGTTACTGTATCAATCCATCTCATCCAGGGTCTTCCTCTCCTGCGCTGTCCGTCCAACCTTCCAAGCATGCTGTCCTTCTCCAAGGACTGATCTCTCCTGGCCACGTACCCAAAGTAAGTGAGGTGGAACTTCAAAATCCTAGCCTCCAAGGACAGACTTGGTTTCACCCTCTCCAAGACAGACCTATTTGTTTTCTTGGCAATCCATGGTATGTTCAAGACTCTTTTCCAGCACCACAACTCGAAGGCGTTTATTCTTCTGTCATTCTTAGTCATTGTCCAACTCTCTAAAGCAGAAAACTTAATTTGTTTTTCACTTTTTTTTTCAGCTTGAGAAATACTGAGCAAGTTCTTCCTTTTTGTTCTCCAGTTCCAGCTCTTTGCATAGTCCATTATAATACTTCACTTCGTCATCTCAGGATCCCCTCTGAAATCTTCTGTTCCATCCCTTTTACTTCAGGCTCTCTTCCTTTTGTTTTGACTTCCTGATGCTTTAGTGCAATTTTCAGAGTCTCTTCTGATATCCATTTTGGTCTTTTCTTTCTCTTCTGTCTTTGTAATGACCTTTTGCTCTCTTCATGAATGATATCCTTGATGTCATCCCACAAAGTAATCATTAGTGTTTAATGTCTCAAACCTATTATTTAAATTATTTTTAAATTCAAGTGGGATAGACTCAAGGTCATATTTTGTTCTTGTATTTTTTTTATTTTCTTCATCCTTAATTTGAACTTGCACATGAGTAACTTATGGTGTGTTCTAGAGTCAGCACCTGACCTAGTTCTGACTGCTGGTATTGAGCTTCTCCAACAATTCTTACCACAGATGTACTCAATTTAATTCATGTGCAGTCCAACAGATGAAATCCATATGTATAATCACCATCTGTGTTTCTTAAAAAAGGAATTAGCAATGAAAAAAATTACTGAATGTACAAAGCAATCATTCACTCTCCAGCCTCATTTCTATCACTACTACTCCAGTTACTGGGTCAATCCATCTCCTCTGGACTCTTTCTTTCCTGCATGGTCCCTCCACCCTTCCAAGAAGCATGATGGCCTTCTCCAAGAACTGATTCCTCCTGCCCACTTGCCCAAATTACATGAGATGGAGCTTCAAAATTCTTGCTTCCAAGGAGCAGTCTGGTTTCACCCTCTCCAGAACAAACCTGTTTGTTCTCTTGGCAGTCCATGGTATATTTAATACTCTTCAACAGCACCACAACTCAAAGACATCGATTTTTCTCTATTTTCCTTAATCAATGTCTAGCTCTCTGATGCATAACAAGTAATTGCGAAGACCATGGCCTGGATCGGGTGCACCTTAGTCTTTACACTGAAATCATTGCTCCTTAGCTCTCTGGAGGGGTCCTTAACAGTAAATATTCCTAATGCAATTAGTCTTTTGATTTCCTGACTGCTGGTGACAACACTGTTGATTGAAGAACTAAGCAAGCCGAAATTGTTAATAACCTCAATCTAATCTCCATCTATCATGGTGCTGCCAATTGGTCCAGTGGTGAGAATCTTTGATTTTTTTGATGTTGAGCTCCAACCCACCTGAAATCTATAGTCCTTGTCCTTTTGTAGCTAATACTTTAGACTCCTGAAAGTGCACTGGCAAAGAGCTGGCATTTTTCAAATTATGATTTGTATGTGAGGATGGTGAGACCAAAGTGTCAGAGAAGTTATCAGTACCGTCTCAAAATAAAAAAAATTAATTAGTTACCATCTAGTCAACTCATAGTGTATCAGAATAGAATTTAGCTCTGTGGTGTTTTTAATAGTTGAGGGTTTCTTTTTTAATTTTTATTCTTTTATTTTTATTTCAGTGAAAGTACAAATAAATTGGGTTTTCATTCATCTTACATTTTGATGCATGTCCTCCGGTCCAGCTTGCTAACTAATTGTCATACACATAATATTTAATCATACATCTCCTTCAGACTGTCCTTCTCTTCACCTTCAAGTGTTTATTATCTATCTATTCTTGGCCTGCACTCTCCAGCACCCCATATCCATCCTACTTTTTATAATTAGATCACCTGACCTTTTCCCAAAATACTTCTGGATGAACTCAAAGCTTCAAAACCTTTTTATTAGCAACCAAACATGCTAAACATTCACTCCTTCAACTCATCCCTTTCTCACATTAATACACCACTACCCTGGAGTAAGTTCTGAGTCACAGATACTCTTCTCTCCACTGGTTTTCAAGGCTGTAACTCTGAGAAAACTGCCCATTTTTCTCCCTAGAAGCACCTGGTATATGGGAACTAATAACCCTACAGGTTAGCAGCGCTCCATCTCAGGGCATATTAACTTGAGCTTGATATGGTTACCCAGCTGGCTGTAAAGCAACAGTTACTCCAGACCAGGCTTGAGTCAAGAAATTCCGCAGCAGGACTTCTGCCTCACTCACTTCCTAAGCGAGTGAGCATACAGACCCCCCCCAGCTCTGCAGCCGCCCTCCTATGCTTACCCTCTTGGGACAATGACGGCAGCGTGGGCAGCACCCGCTTGCCCAGACCCTCCAAGTTTGAGGTTAGTGTGTCCAACATCTCGCGCGAGCAAGTTTTTCCAGCAGATGCGGGACTGCGCGACTCTCCCTCCGTAAGAGTTCCTCGATGGTTGTCTTCTCTTCCTTCCTTCTAGGAAATTTGCACCAAAGTGATTTTCACACCTTCTCCTTTTAGCTAGCTGTAGGTGTGCCGTGAAAAATGAATAAAAGTCTTTATTCCTTTTTACTGATTTGACTCTGTGTTCTTTCTCGCCCTCTCTTCTCACCGCTCTGGTTCTCCAGGGACTGACTCTTAGCTCAGGAGGTCGGAGAGCTCACCGGATCCTGAGCCAGTGAGTTCAAGCCCGAAGCCTCCAGGCAAGGATGCGGCTCTGCAGGGCGAGTGGAGGGTGGACCAGGACCGAGGGCGGCTGCGCTCCTATGACGCAACAAAAGTTGCTGGGGAGCCGGCCGGGGCTCCGCCCCTAAGGAGCCGGTGGCTGGGAGTGTAACTGAGTTTAAGAAATTAACTTTTCCCCCTCTCCCCAATTTTGAGGGTTTGTTGTTTAATTTTCCCTTTACGTTCTGAGTGTTAATGGGACTAGTGGTTCGAGATGGACCGTTTTCGGGAACAAATTTGAGACTGACCGGGAGTGGTTAACATTTGAGTCCTTGAGAATTTGTGTTTGAACTGCAATTAGTTTCTTGGTTTTATTTTTATCTGGGCTTTCTTTATATGAAATGAAGAATTAGAAGGTAAAGAGTTGACTTTTTAAAATTACTTTTTTTTTTTCTTTCCTTTTTCCTCTTTTTCCCTTTAAGGGAGCTCGAGTGGCCTCGTGGGTTAGGAGTTGCGCAGTCAGAAGGCAGGCCCTTCAAAATCACCCAAAGGGCAGTCTCCTCCCTTGTGATTTACATTCTCTGAAAACCCGTGAGAGGGTCAGATGAGACTCCACAGCAATGCTTACTTTACTTTTTTCTTTTCTGAGTTTGCAGTAATTTAGAGGACTCTAACTGATTTTTGTATGTTGATCCTTTAACCTACCAGTTTGCTCAATTTGGTGGGTAAGATAAAGCAATTTTCTTTCTGAGTCTTTGGGAATTTCTTTATGATCATATCATTTGCAAATGGAGCTAGTTTTACTTTCTCTTTGCCTGTTTGGATGCTTATTATTTTCTCTTCTTGCTTTATTCCAGTGTCTAGGACTTCTGATACAATCTTGAATAGAATTGGTGATAACGGGCATTCTTCTTTGGTTTCTATTCTCAAGGGGAATCGCCATTGAGAGTGTTAGTCCTTGGTTTTGTATATATGCTTCTGATTATATTGAAGCATTTCCCTTCTAGCACTAGTTTACTGAGCGTTTTTCTTAGGAAAGCATGTTAAATATTGTTAAATGCCTTTTCTGCATTGATTTATCTAATCAATGCTTCTTTTCCTTTGTATTATTGATGTACTGGTTTACACTGATTGTTTTTCCTTTACTGAACCATCCTAAGCAAAGTGAAAATCATAATAAAAATTTTTCATTTAACATTTATCCAAATTAAAAATATTTCTTCTTCAAAGATTAATATTTGGGGAAAGTGGTATGGGAAAGAAAATGTACAACAATGGGAAAATATAAATAAAACATTTTTATAATAAAATATTAATCTTTTATCTTTAAAATACTAATTAATAGGTAAGCTATATAATGGGGAGAATATTCACAATACATATACCTAAGGATGATTAGGGATGATAGAAGGAGAATTGATACCTTTGAGCTGTGGTGCTGGAAAAAAGAGTACTGTACATACCATGAACTGGAGGAGAACAGGTTCATCTTGGAGACGGTAAAAGGCTGCTCCTTGGAGGCAAGGATTCCAAAGCTTCGTCTGACATACTTTGGACATGTTGCAAGGAGGGATCAGTCTTTGGAGAGGAATGTCATGCTTGGGATAGTGGAGGGACAGTGCAGAAGAGATGGATGAGATGGATTGTTTCAGTGACTAGGGTAATGGGGTACTGTGTCAGAGACAATAAGGATGGCACAGGATAGAGCAGGGTTTATGGCTGTTGTACACAGGGCCGCAATGAGTCACAGGTGACTCGACGGCATATAACAACAACAACATTTGGAGAATATACACTTTTAAATATCCAAAATTGAAAAATAAGAAAGCTTGAATTTTTTAAAAGTGATCAAAGAGCACATGAAAATATTCCCAATGATAATGATTATTCAAGAAACATATTAAAATGATGATGAGATACCACTAAATATTTAGAATAGCTATAGATTAGAATTATAATGCTAACTGTTGGTGAGGATATGGAATAAATATAACTCATACACTGCAAATGAGAATGTAAAATGGTTAAACCCACTTTGAAAAACGGTTATACACGTTTTTAATGTTAAGCATTGTTGTTGATTGCCATCAAGTCGAGCATGACTCATAGCAAACCTATGAGTAAAAGACCTGAAAGCCTTTCTATAACTATGGTCATTTCTCAAAGATCATAGAGTTTCCAGAGGCATGTTGTGTTGGAAGTGGATGCTAGCATATCACTTATCTATTCCAGGTCTAACTATTCAAGCTAAAGAAACAAAAACATACATTCACATGTTATGCACAAATATTCAAGACAGCTTTATTGATAATAATAAAAAACCTTAAATAAGGTATGTGTCCATCAAATAGTAAAGGGTAAGTGCCAGGGTGGGGGGGGAAAGTCATATTCAATAACAGAAAAGAATAAACTATTGATGTGGGCAACAACAAGGGTGGGCCTTAAAATCATTATGTTGAGTAACAGAAGCCAGACACAAAGAACACATACTGAGTGATTCCTTTTATAGAAAATTCCAGAAAATAAAAAAGATAGTGATAAAATCAAATCCTTGCAACAATGAATGAGTGAAAACCCAAAATCTCTGTAAATGTTCATTAAAATTAATAAAATTTAATAATAAAAAGAAAATATGGGAAAAAAAAGCAAATCCTGGGGTTAGGATGATTTGCAAATGGGTTCGAGAAATCTTCTGGAATGGTGAACAATTCTGTATCTTGACTATAGTTAAGGTTTCACAGGGGTATTTCTGTTGTTCAGTTGAGTATCACTATCACTTACAGCCACCCTATGAACAATAATAGGTCAGAACCTTGCCCTGTATTGCCCTATACCCATTATAATCTCTATCATGTTTAAGCCCACTGTTACAGTCGCTGTGTCAATTCATCTTCTTGTTGGCCTCCCTTTCTTTTATTGAACCTCTACACTTCCCAGAATGCTGTCCTTTTCCAAGTACTGGCACTTCCTGGTAATATGTCCAAAGTGTATGAAGTCTCACCATCTTTGCCTCTTAGAATTACGCTGGTTGCACTTCCTTCAAGAGAGATTTGCTTATACTTTAAGCAGTCCAAGGGATATTTAGAACTCTTCACTAATATCACAATTCAAAGGCATGATTCTTCTTTGATCTTTCTTATTGTCCAACTTTCAAAAGCATAGGAAGCAATTGAAAAGACTTAACATCAGGCTCACTCTAGTCTTTGATGTTCTTGCTCTTTGGAACTTTAAAGAGGTCCTTGACAGCAGATTTCCCAGTGTAATGTATCTTTTGAGTTCTTCCCCCTCCCTTTAATGGACCTCTCTTTTATTTGTCAACAACCAAGTATAAGAAACTTCATTTGTAGTGTGTTCAGTTGTCTATCTTTTGCACATGTGCATTCAGAAGGGACTTTGAGGTTTTTCTGCAGCACATGAGCATCCCCAGGCTCTATCCTCTTATACCAATTCTCTGGCACATAAAACAACAACAGTAGTTCAAATTTAAACAAGGTGTACATCAGAGTTGTATTCTTTCACCACACTTATTCACCCTGTACTATGAACAAATAAGTTAAACTGTTGTTGTTGTTGTTATGTTGTTATATGCCATTGAGGCGTTTGCAGCTCAAGCAACCCTATGTAGAACAGCCCTAAACCCTGCTCTGTCCTGTGCCAATCGCACTGCCTCTGACACACCTATCCCGATTAACCCAGTCACTGAATCAATCCACCTCATAGAGAGCCTTCCCCTCCTGCGCTGTCCCTTCACCCTACCAAGCATGATGTCCCTCTCTAAGGACTGGTCCCTCCTTACAACATGTCCAAAGTATGTTAGACAAAGCCTCAGAATCCTTGCCTCCAACGAGCAGCCCGCTTTAACCCTCTCCAGGATGAACCTGTTTGTTTTCTTAGCAGTCCATGGTATATTTAGTATTCTTCTCCAGCACCACAGCTCAAAGACATCAATTCTCCTTCTATCCTCCTTAGTCACTGTCCAGCTCTCTGATCCATAACAAGTGATAGCAAAGACGATGGCATGTATCAGATGCACCTTAGTATCCAGAGAGACACCATTGCTCTTGAGTACTTTGGAGAGGTCCCTAACAGCAGACTTTCCCATCGCAATACGTCTTTTAATTTCCTGCCTACTGCTGCTGAGAGTGTTGACTGTGGAGCCAAGCAGACTAAAGCTGTGAACAATCCCAATCTCTTCACCATCCATCCTGATGCTGCCAATTGGACCAGTGGTGAGAATCTTTGTCTTCTTGACATTGAGCCTCAATCCATATTGGAGGCTGCAGTCCTTGACCCTCTGCAGCAAGCGCTTC